GCAGAGTAACGTTGCTTAACTACGCGATAGAAGAAGAGGAATATCTTTTATATAGTGGTGGCATAGCGAAGGTTAAAGTTCTAGTAAGGCGCGAGTAGATGCAGTAGAATATCTTAAGAGTGTTCTTTGACTACGCAGATGCGAGCATACTAACTACTCTAAGCTATAACATTCTACTAGGTTTAGGCTATAGTCTTTACTACGTTGTAAAGCAAGTGTATCTTATAGTCTGATTTTCCTGCTAGAGGCGCAGTGTATAATGCTACACGCTTCTATAACATGCCCTCTAATATAGTAAGAAACGACGTATATATAACCTATAGATTTGTAGACACGTTAGGGCGGATTAAGACCTGTGCAAGAGATTCGTTCCGCTTACTTGCTACCTACTGCTTAGCTACCTATAGCTGCTCGCGAAGAGAAGATATAGTTTATAGCGGTGTAGTAACCTGCGCATAGTGTAGTATAGTATTAGCGGCTTTAGGTAGGGATTTAGGTTAAGGTAGACTGCTGCTCTAGTTGATAGGAGTGTTAGACAAGAGTGTCGCGATATCTAGTTCTATGTTACTATAGCTAGATGCGTTAGCTTTGTACACCTTAAAGTGTTTAACAAGACTAGTGTTTTAGCAGGTAGCTAGAACGCCTATAAAGAAGCGTTAGCTAGTAACCTCTCTAACGTAGGAGAAATACTACTTAGTGCTGCTTATATATTATAGTAAATTCGATCTAAACAAGGCGTGTTAGTTTTGCAGATACGACTGTATATTACTGCTAGCATTAGCGCCTTCTGTAATAGCACTATATTAATTGCAGCAATAAGACTTCGTGTAGATAGTAAGACTATAAATAATAGAGATTGCTATTAATAGAATATTAAAATCGCTATACTTAGTCTTTAAATTAAGTTCTTCTTATAAAGCCGTGATAGCGCTAAGAATAAGACGGCGTTTAGGCGCAGTAACGTTAGTTCGATGTTAGTCTTTAAAATAAGACAAGATAGTTTAAAGCAGAACGACGATGCTATAGACAGAGTAAATTAGAGCTCTATGCTCGTAGTTATAGATAAGTTGTTTTAGAATTAACATGTTAGGTAGTGCGTTAGTGAACGCAAAAGAGATGATTTAAATCTAAATTTTAGATTAAAATAAAAACTATACCGCAGTTTCGCGAGAGCGTAGTAGACACTAAGTAGTGTATCTAAAACAAAGTCGCGGCTGTATGCTAACTAGAAGAGGCATAGATGCGGGGTTAGTAGATCTGTCTTTCTAGCTTAACTGCGCGGAAATACTCTTCTGCGTTCGCTTAATACAGCGTATAATAACACGACTACAGCTAGTAGACATGTCGGCTTATCCTATATTCTACGTTATTTCTAATATTATTGCAGACGACGCGCTAGATCTGTAAGCAATTAGGCGAGTAGTCTAGAACGGCCTCTCTAGCACAAAACTAGCAACGTTTATTTATCTTCTAGATAACTTAATTCCGTGCACGGCGTTTGTATTACAGAGCTCTATAGACGCGCTGCGTTAGATGTATTAAAACATTTCTAAGCCTAAACTTCTTAAGGTTCTTAATTACAATTACGACTATCTACTTAGAAGCGTATAGAATAAAGATGCCTAGGAAGAGCTACACAGTTAAGACGCGAACGATAATTACATGCCTAACACGTAGCTAGAATTAAAGCGCAAGCGGGAAAAGATAACTAAGCAAGTTAACAAGAATATAGTTAATCGCCTTAACCTTTAACTAGTGCAAATAATCGCAAGCACTTAGGATTAGAAAACTATACGAAATCCGGAGGTAATATTAGTGGAAGAGCAGCGTTATTATTAATAGGCTTAACGCTTACTAAACGCGGGCTTAAATATAATTACTTACATAATTAAAATAGCGAGAGTAGTAGAGACGATAGAAGTGTTTAAGAATTAGGCTACTATCTTTGTTTTATAGAAGCGACAGAGAGCGAAGAGTTTACAGCTCTTCGACGATCTAGAACTACACGAAGATAAGGGTTTTAGTTTTGCATCTTGTGTACTAAGTACGCAGCTCACTTAATAGTTAGCATAGACTCTTAATATAGCACTACTAGAAATATAAGCAGGATTAGGCACTAACAAGTTAAAAAAGAAGTACTTTAAGGTCTAGCGAACTTACGCTAACACGATAGCGAGTTAAATGCGGCAACGTTAGAAGATAGACACGTTTTACGAGGAATATAAGCGGATATATAAGGAAATAAGAAGACGGAGCATAGGCATAGGTTAAAGAGGGCGAAGGTACAGTAGTGTTGCAAAGAAGATATTATTCGCGCTTACGCATAAAGAAGATTTAGAGAGAATAGCTATAAAAGAGGAGAATAGAAAGCTTTAGGTTAAGTTTAGGAAGTACCTAGATTAGAGTAAGCGCTAGAATATTCTTAAGAAGCGATTTAGAACAATTAGTATCTTTGCGTTGCTACTGCATAGTATAAATCTAAACGACTAGGTTAAGAGGAAGATTACGCAAGCGCGCGTCGTATAGTAGGCGGAAATAGTGTTTAAATGCAACAAGCTAGCTATTAAGTTAGTAATAAGAATTAAGCAGTTAGTGGTCGAGTGTGTTTATAACCGGGATCTACTAATAGAATATGCTTTTCTTAAGAAGCTACATTGTTTCTAGAGTACTAATCTATTAGCGCTACTTAACAGCACGTTAAGAATTATAGATAGTAGTACAAAGGAGAACAGCGTAGTAAGTAAGTCCGCTTAGGATAAGGTGTTTAGGATTTGTAAGGTTATAGTTCTTAGTATTATTGTAGAGTATAAGAAATAGCGTTCGGCGATTACGATAAGAGCGCTTCTAGAATTGTAAGGTTTTTAAAGTCTGTACTAGTCTAGAGCTGTAATTACGCATAGCTAGGTATTTAATAGATTTTAACTTAGGTTAATAACTGCGAGCTACGTACTAGAAAGAGGCGCTTCTAGAATTGTAAGGTTTTTAAAATGTGTACAATTCTAGGATAGCACTTACGGACGTTATTATACCTAAGAGAGCTTATCTTAAGTTTACGCCTGCAAGCGGTATAGTAATAAAGAGCGCTTCTAGAATTATAAGGTTTCTAAAATAGTTATAATTTTAAGAGTAGTCTTATCTACGTATTTATGTTGCGGTTAGAATAATTTTAATTGCTATTTTAGATTAAAATAGGCGATATTAGACGTCTAATATCGCTTCTAGGCCTGCTAATATTGCACCTGCTGCCGCCGATATTAGTCTTGCACCTAGCGATATCGCACCTAGGCCTGCTAATATTGCACTGCGGGTTACTAATATCGCACTCTAACATTGCTGCGCACGTACTAGAATTTACACAATAATAGTCCGTTATTCTCTATTCTAATAAAGTTAGTATATTAGAAACTTAGAACAATCTACGTAGAACTTATTACTACAGCCTCTAAGAGAAGTTCTACTCTCTCTATAATAGTCTCTCTAAAATCTAGCTTTATACCTTAGAATATATTAGTATAGAAAATAATAGATAAGATAGAATGTACGTAAAAATTTTATAGAGAACTTTAGAGTTAAACTATATATCTAGCGCACTACAAAACAGACTAATATTATTAAGATATAGTACGTACTCGCGCTTATCGTAGTTATTAATTATAGTATTACTATCTTATACTATATTATTAGCTTTATAGATAGTAGGTAGCTTACTATATATAGTAATAAGCTAGAATACGTATAGTTAGTAAAGTATATATATATAGAGAAGAGAGAAGAAAAAGAATAAGAATATATATAGTAATTAGAGAGATAATAAGGCAGCTATTATTATATAGCTTAAGGCAGGTATAGTAGCTACTAGCGCTATTATACTACTATACTCTAAAGTAGCTAGAAGATATAATAACTATAAAGAGGTTAGTATATAAAGTATAGAATAGAAAAAGTCTTATAAATAGCGTATAGCTAATAGATAGCTTTATAAAGTAGAATAAAGAAGCGTTAGTATAGAGATTTAAACTCTTACTTTTTAATAGTACTTAGTAATACTAGATAGAGATACTAGATAGTTAGAGTATTTTATTCTTAAGTAAAATAATTTATAATTAGTAACTATAGAAGCTATAATAAGAACTACTACTACTAGAATACGTATTAAAAGTAAGAAATAGGTCTACTAGACCTATAAATATAAGTAGAAATATATCTTATACTATATAAACAGGTCTTATAGACCTATAAGTACTATAATAAAATAAGTTTTTTATAATATAAGTAGGTCTATAAGACCTACTAGTATAATAATAGCAGATATATCTAGTAGTAGATACTTCTAGGTCTACTAGACCTAGAACTTTCTACCTAAAAATACTCTATTTAGGTATATCTTAAATAGAGTCTAATATAGAGATCTGCGTACGGACTATTTAACCTAAATAGACTCTATTTAGGTTTCTAACTATAGTAAGGTTACTAATATTGCACTTATTACTGCGCACGTACTAGAATTTGTATAATAATAGTCTGTTATTCTCTATTCTAATAAAGTTAGTATAATATATTCTATACTATATCTAATAGTACTACTATACGTTATACACGCTAACCTTTACGCACTTTACCTTCTCTTCTACTCTTTTCTTCTATACTTTCTTCTCACGTCTTTGTTCTACGTCTTTCTTACGCGCTGTCTTCTGCGATTCTCTTCTTCGCGTACCTCTCTTTTCGTGCGCCTCGTTCTGAACTCTTATACGTTTTTGCGCGATGTGGGGCAGTAATAGTGTGTAGAGCAGCACCCTCTAAACTGGTCTTCGCCCTGGTCGCGATGCGCTTTCTGAGACTGGTCGCCTTGCGCGCGATGGCCTAAACTTCGTGCGCCTGGCTCGCCGCGCGCAATAACGCTGACGTGCGCATTGTGGTAATCTGTCTTGAGCCGATCCGCTCTGTGCCTGTGGATCTGGTGGCCTGACGATGTCTGGCAGAACTGCGCGACATGAGATTCATCACCCGTCCGCAATCTCGACCGTCGCATACAGATGCGGTTCTTCCGAGTTCTTGTTCTTTCGAATCCATCTCACGACCAGCTTCCAGCGCTTCTCCAGTGCACCTTGATCAAGACTAACGCGGTAGGCTTCTTCCTCGGGGCCTTCCTCGTCCGCTCTCAACAATATTGCCAGTCTCTGCCTGTCCAAGTTATCACCGCGCTTCCGGTCTATGGCCATACATTGAAAGGCTTGGAAGAACTGCTCTCCCGAACCGCTGATATCGACTGACATGCTGATCGGCATTCTGCCCCAGTAACCTTCAATTTCGAGCTCGTCGCTCGGATCGTCTTGACTTGCAATGGGCATGGAGGCATCCCTCTGCTGACTGTAGTTCGCGGGCGCTGATGGTGCAGCTTGGGTGGGTGGCCCTGACTGTCGCACGCGTTGTACATCTTGCATTGCACCCACGCGCCCGAATGCTCGTTGCACGTCGGGAGGCGGTGACTGATACGAGGGTTGGTATGGATGCATCGGCGCAGTCGGCGCTGGCGGCGGAACTGCTTGATCAAATTCGCGGACAAAGCCCGATGGGTAGCGATCTTGCGGAGAATGCGCTTCTTGAACGTCTGCTGTCGCGACAGACAAATCAGCCTGGTTGTGCCGACACTGATCGGAATGTGTGGGACTGACCTGAGGGGAATTGGCGCTCCATGGACTCCTCAGATCCCAGAACGACATCGCTATCGAGCAGCCTTGCTGACACGACGTAGAACGTGTCCATATTTGTCTTGAATTCATTGCGACGGCGCCATGTCAGGTTCACGGCGGCCTTGACAGCCACCCACTTCGCCGCTCCAGAAGATGTGTGCACTAGTATTGACTCGTCCACCTCGAATTGCCCGGTACTAAGGCCGCGTCCGTACGCCACTCCATCGCCAATCAGGTTGTACCTCCCTGGCGCACGTCTTGCTATGACTGGTTGATCCGCGCCATCATCGTCGCACGAGAGGAAAGATATCTTTTCCATGCCGGCGGCCGCGAGACCGGAAGTGTGCGACTTGACCGAGCCCGCGCTGGTGGGAGGGGTTTGCATGCTATGTCTGGCACTTTGAGCATCGTGTCGTACCGACGCTTGTTGTAGAGAGGAGTTGCGATGATGTCCGCGTAACGTTGGGGATTCGTACTGCTGTCCAGATGGCGCGTTGGAAATTCGTTGCGGTGGGTGCTGCCCTATATAACGCTCGGTCGCTGCGCATATTACTTCGTCTTGAAGATAGATCATCAGGAGCTCGGCCGCCTTAGAAGGGTGGTCCTTGAGAAGCTGTTGCACTAAGTCGTAGGTGTTACCCATCGTGCGCGAACCGAGGCGATTCCGTCGCAATCAGCCTTGTAGGCGCCCGCAACTTCGACATGCGCCAGGTAGCGCTAGGGCAGGCGCTTGGCAAATGCAACGCTCTACTTGGAAGTCATGGTGCGCAAAAAGCGCGCGATGTGGATGGTATTGTGGAGCTTCGTTTCCGTGTAACTGCGACGTTAGTTGTACATCAAGACGTTCGCATGGGCGCTGCTGCACGTTGGAAAGATGAAGTGGGGCAGATCTCCAGCTTGCGCATCATCAACGCGACCGGAAGTGGCAGGGGCGTCGCTCGTGCCTGTTACGCGCTATGCCCGTCTCAATTGACCGGTAGCGACGCGGCAAATCATCTGGACGGCGAGACCACCCACACGTGACAGCGTATCCCCGCGATTACGCGCATGCGTGTTGGGCGACCTGTAGGGTTTCTTGAATTGCCACATCCCGCGTTCGTTGCGGACATGAACCGGATGCGCCCCCGGGATTCGCAAAGCTGGTCGCCCCCAGCTGAGCCCGTCGTTTTGCTCTCTTCCTTTCTGCTCTGCACTTTGTCTTCGAATTATGAGCAGCTTCTACAGAAGTGATGTCGGCCGTACCATTCGCGACTCCAAAGGCGAAGATAAATCAGCGATGTCTGTGTTGGAGAGTGGTAAAGGCGCAAAGCGAGTGACGCATCAGTCAGCAGTTATCGGGAACAAGGCCTTCGACAATACGCTGCAAATCAACGGACACGTCGCAGATAAGGTCAACAGCTGTTACATGTGAGTGCCTCTCATGCCACATGTGTGGGACTCACTGACGAAGGGCCAGAAAGTACGCTGTCTTCTCATGTCATGGCGATTTCGCAAAGGCTATGGCGAGCATAGCGTCAGGTGGTGCGTTACCCATTTCAGCGTCAAGACAGGCTCGTTTTTCAGAAGCGACAGGGCGTCCCAACCGTGTCAACATTGTGAGCCAACACACCGATCGCGGGTATGCCTTCACTGACAATGCGCAAGGTATCTTGGGCAGAGATCAAACCGTTGCTGAAAGCGATGCGGAAGGTTCCAGTCATATCTAAATTGACCGAGGAACCTGACGCCATCTGTGTCATCTCTCCGCGACAAGTCTACGACAACTTCATCTCTTCTAAGGTCGTTGGTCGTCTTGGACTCACTACCCGCTCCGATACTGTGATGGTAAAGTCCATCGTATGGGACTCGAAGCGTTTCGTTTCTACCGGTGGCTTCGTGGATCTTTCGTTTCCCGTGCCCGGTAGCGACGCTGGCGTCGGGCGACGTCTCTACGTTCTGGACGACCCGCCCTTTGACACGCTCCTCGCGAACCCTGCGACGCGCTTCCATTCCGTAAGCAGTCAGAAGGCTCTGCTGAGATAGTACCAGACGCATGTCGGATTTTGTTCGGTACACACTGGTAGAGAGGAGTTCCCGGGTTCGTCTGTTTTACTATTTCCATGTTGCTTTCGGATCTATAGTCTTCTTAGTATATGTCACTATCCACTCGAGCAGTTCTAGCAGCTCTCCTACAGTACCATGTCGCGAGAGTGTATGCAGACTTGCGAACACAGCGCCCTTCGCTGTCTACTTCCCGATCACACTACCTACAACCTCCGCAACAGCAATCATCTTCTCCTCCTGCAATCTCCGTCCAACAAGCTGCACACTAATATGCGCGCCGTCATATATCTCGGGGTCGTAGTCGTCCTGAATACCCCCATCCATCTCACTCAGCGCCGTATACCCCACCTCCCTCCCATCAACGCCCTTATTCACAGTCGTAACCGGCAAAACAACACTCGTATAATCCAAAGCATTAACCCAAGTCGAATACCCATAATACCTAAACCTCTCCCTCCTCGCCGCCGGAAACGGCGCAAGCGGACAAATCACCGCGTCAACAGGCCTCCCCGTACTCGTTTTATCCACAGTACCATTCCAATACTCCATGTACTCCTTCCTCAGCGCCCTCAACTCCACATTCGTGGCCGCGATGTCCGTAGCCGAAAACTCTTTCTCGACACCTTGGTAAAACGTAACTTGCGGCGCCATGGGTTCGCCCGAAAGCGCAAACGCGGATTTAACGTCTTTACCCGCGTCGTAGATCCAGGGGCGGAAGCCGACGTCGTTGATGGTACGGTGGGAGGGGGGTTGCCAGTCTATGACTTCATGACCAGCAGAACGCAGGGCTTCCACAACTGTCTCAATAGCGCGGCGGACGGGGGGCGTGGGATTCACAACACCATCTGTCATTAACAAACCGAAGGAGAGTTTCTTTGCGGACTTGATCTCGGCTTCTTGGCCCGGGCGCCATGGGATTTCGTGGACGAGGGGGTCGTGGAGCCAGGGGTTTTGCTCGAGCAGGGCTTGACAGGCGAGGCGCAGGGAGGCTGCGTTTGTGGCGAGGGGTCCGACGACGGAGAGGACGGTGTTTTGGCCGTCCATGGAGTTTGCCATGCCTTCGTAGGGGAGGCGGCCTGTGGAGGGGCGGATGCCGTAGAGGCCGTTGAAGGCGGCGGGGATGCGGATGGAGCCGCCGATGTCAGTACCGAATCCTAATGGCGCTGTGCAATGTCAGCGACCCACAGTCTCTTCGTCTTGAACGCGAACGCTCATGGCGATTGCCATAACTCAGACGGTAGTCCACTTACATCCTCTCATACCAATCAACGCGCCCTCGCCGCCGGAGCTACCACCAGCCGTAAGATTCCTATTCTTCGGGTTAAGCGTAAACCCGATGATGTTGTTGATCGTCTCTCCGCTCATCAGCGTATGCGGCACACTGGTCTTGCAGTACAACACAGCTCCCGCCTTGCGCAGCATCTTCACCATCTCACTCTCGAACACCTTCTCTTTGCCAGTACCCTTCTTGCCTTCGAAGGTGCCAATCCAGCCGACGTAGCCCATACTGGTCTCGACATCCTTGACATGGAACTGGTCTTTGAGTGAGATGGGTACGCCGTGCAGGAGACCGATGGTCTTTTTGTGTTTTGCGTAGTATGCGTCGAGCTCTTTTGCGTCCCGGATGGCGGCATCGAAGAAGATTTCGTGAAGACATGATAGCTAATCGGTTAGCATCATCCACTGCACGTATCAGATGTGCGACGTACCAGTTGATGCGCAACTGCAGCTCTGTGGCAGAATGCCCTCGTGACCTCTTCAGCAGTCCACTTTCCCTCAGCCACGGTCTTTGCGATCACATCGGCGCTGCTTTCAGTGATGTCGAGCTCTTGCTTGCTGAAGTACTGCTTCACATAGTCTGTGACATCGACCTGTTCTTCTACTGATGGCAACTTCTCCAGTCGCCATTCCGAGGGTATGGCAGCTAAGATAGCTTCGCGCTTCTTACTAGCGATCTCTTCCCACGATGATGTCGTCATGATTTTGGTTTGAGCTGATTACAGAGGAGACAAAGGCAGTTATCGGCAAGTATTTGGTGTTTGAGGGGAGGTATCGCAGCAAGTTGGGCATGAGAGCGGTTCCGGAGTTAAGATATGCAGCCGCGGAATGACGTTGAGGGTTGTCGCCGTTGATAGCTTCGAAGCTACCCAACGACCAAGTGGGGTAGCTATCGAGCATTTGTTCTAAGCACCTTCCACATTAGCGTAGCTTCACATTTCACGACATGTCTGTAGGTTAATGCAGGGTATTGTCCTGCCGATGCGCATACCGCGGAGGGTGAACATGAGGGGCAGCCTGAGGCGGGGGTTGGAGCGATCGCTGGGTCATAGATACGATGTTCAGCCGACCAGCTCCACCTCGGCAATCGGGGTAACTCCAAATGGTTCTCGTCCGTACTCCACACATGACAATGAACCTTACTGTATCTCGTGATTCAACGACTTCTTTCGCTACGTAGGTATCTGGGATAGAGGCAACAAGGAGAACTGATAACGGACTCAGAGAAGAAACGCCAGGCCATGCGAAAGCAAGCAAGGTGCTAAATGCCGACCGCTCGAAAAGGAGGTGAAGAATGTCGCTAGACTAGAAATGAAAGGAGGTGTGACAGTCTACGTGGTCGGGTTGTGGTATCTCAGGAACGACTTTATACGGTCTCGACGTAGTTGCTGTGGCAGTCAGCGAAGTGTTTATGATGGCATGGCCTGTGCGACTTACCTTGGGAAGATGCCCTCTCGGCTTCCGACTCTGCCTGTCCACCAGTCGGTCTCGTTGTCCGTCCTCTTCAGGATTGTGATGATCTCGCCCTTCTTAAAGCCGAGATCGCCCGGCTGATCTGCGTCAAAGGTGAATTTGGCAATTGCCTGGTCGGATTGCAGTCCTGCCTTCTTCTGCCCGGTTGTCTGTCCGAATACTGGTTTTGGCGCCGTTGGTCGGCCAGGCTTGCGGTCGCTGTACGAGTAGTCGTCGCCGAAAGTGGAAGAACGGCTCCGGTTGTCCATGCGGTCGAATGTCTCGGTGGGGTTCGCACGTGTGGAGAACGAGCGGTTGAGGCCGCCTGGTGCCGAGGATGGCTGTCGGTCGTATACGTCGTCCGCCCACGTAGATGAGTGCTGCGGTCGGTCTCTATACTCGTAGTCATTGTGTCCCTGGCCCATGAAGCCGGTGCGGTCACGGCGCACGCCTTCGCCCATGGCCGAGCCCTCGCGGCCCTGCCATACTACGTTGTCGCGCGAGTTGTCGTAGACGGGGATGTCGTTGTACATGGCGTCGTTGGTAACGTTCTGCGCGCCTCCTACGCCGGCAAAGACTCTCGAGTTGAGCACTTGCAGGAGTGGCGCGGCGGCTGGTGGCGGGGGAACCTGTCCGCTGAGGATCTCGCGGGCCGTCCATCGGCGGCCGTACAGCTTCTCGTTGGCATCTCTCCGCTCGATGATGCCGCTCCCCTCCAGACTGACACCGGCGAACAGTCCCTTTGTCTTGCTGTAGCTGAAAATACCAGCCACGCCCTTCAGACTGGCCGCGCCGGCAGCCTCGGCATTGCGACCGACGGGCCCCGCCGCGATGGAGACATTGCCGCCCAATGTCAGCGAGCCTGCCTGCGCAAAGGTACGGACGGCGGATGCGTCGTTGAGGATGAAGACGAAGTCGGTGAGCTCAAAGCCAATTTGTCCGCCGAAGCCGCCGCCGATGGTTCCGATGGCCGTGGGAGCCGACCACGACCCGTCTGCGAGGCGGGCGACGACGACGCCCGATCCGAATCGCGCTGTGCCGAGGAAGCCGGCCTTGAAGACTGTGAGAATTGCGAGGCCCTGGGGTGTGTCAGCATCTCATCATGTGTTGTTGTCTGCTGTGGTGTTTGCTTGGGCAGCTTCGTGACACCGGATGCGCATCGAGTCCTTACCTTTGCATTGGCGAGGACATTGGGCGGGATAATCTTATCGGGGCCAAAGGCCTGTCTGGGGTCGACAAAGGATGCTAGAATCTTTCCTGTCTTGCGACATTCGCCTGAGAGCACAGCTGTTAGCGACGTCACCGGACCACGAGGCGCGCATAAACAGGGCGGGCGGCATGTGACTTACTGCTCATAGACGAGGGCAGCGGGTTGTTGAGACTGAAACCCATCTTGGCGCGCGTGTGGGGAGAGTATGAGGTAGAGGGCGTTGCGGAAAGAGCGCGGCTGCGTTGCTTATGCCTGCGCTGCCGATGGCGATGGGCAGGAAGCATGGCGGGCGGCCGCCAGGCCGAGGCGGGGATTATGTCATTGCTAGTGGCTGTGTCTGGCACCCGACGCGTCCGCCCTTGGCGACACCTTGATCAAGAACACGACACGACACGACGTTCACAACATCGCCACATGTCACGCGGATGCATTCACTCACTTCACAGACTTTCCATCGTCGCTGCCACTGTCGCATGAGCCATTGATTTGCTATGACGCGTTCCGCTCACGCCAAGCCCAACTGAAGAGGAATTGGTTGCCTCTTCACTCAGCAACCGCCCCTCACCAACTCACACCCAGTGCCCAGCAAATGAACCATCCGCGTCCACGTATACGTTGTGGCACATTCGACATACTGCGCCACATCATTGCTGCTGTCGCATTTCTTGCCCTCATCCAGCCTGTCCGTCACACCTAGACGTTGCAAACCCCGCATCGTCACTGTCACCCGTGCGAGGAAGGAGCGATGGGTGGTCTCTATGTGGCTCGCGTCAGGTATCTCTTTTACTCAGCCCTGCACTCTTCTAGCGCCTACGCTCTTACCGCCGGGACTTCAACCTGGGCGCATTGAATCTGGTCACGTGCTCTGCCATGTCGTTGTCCACGCAGTATCTGCCGCAGGTAACCAAGACGTTCTTGAGTCTATGCAATATTGCGACTTCTCCTGGCTGGACTCGCCTTTCGAACCATACTGAGCAAGACGTACGTCTGATATGCATCGCTTTTGACTCTCGCTACTGGTAAGACGAAATGCGGCAGA